ATGTGAGACTGTAAGGTTCACTTTGAAAAGCCCAAAAAGGCTCAAAGGTTATTGAGCACTTTAAGCGATTCTGAAAAAAAAGTACTAGTCCCACTTCGCTGCTGAACGCTGAGAGTCAAATTGTTTACATGGAAAAATGGCACGATTTCTGTAAGACAAACCTTGTTATAATGACCAGAACCACCACAACGATTACAGGATGCTTGATAGAAGAAACCTCCTTGTAGTCTTTGAGTTATCATTCCAGTACCATTGCAATACGGGCATGACACCTATAAAGTCCTACTCTTTCAGGTGAAACGTGAAACGAAAAGTGTAGTTCATACAGCAGTTCACAGAGGTTTGAGCAACTTCTTCCTAGTGAAGCTCACACCTTAAGCAATTATGCTTTGATCTGACCTGCTCATTGGAGCCTCGGGAGATAGCAAATAACCTTAGCGATAAAGATGTAATGATGCTTAAAATTTCAGCTGCTTTCCCAACATTGAGTCCGAAGTTATTTTTCAGTGAGAGAGGACTGAGAAAACCGGCAACCCTTCCAGGGGGCACTTCCGGCTGGAGAGGGGCTGAATCATTTTGCACTTTCGCTACTTCCCATCGACGGGCTCATTGCCTTACAAAAATGACAGGTACTTTTTATAAGTTGACACCCTCCCTCCACTCCCCCCACCCCCAGCCGAACTGCGGCTCCAATTTTTTTTCCAACGAAAGAGGACTGAGAGGACTCAGTAACAATAACGATGAAAATCAGGTGCTGCAGCAAGTGACTGATAGACTTAATAGCTGTTCAAACTCATGAGTAGCCGAGAATCATGTGGTTAGTCAAGGAGAGTGAGGAGAACAACCCCCCCCTTTCCGCGATAAAATTAAGGCCTATGAACCTCCAAATGTGTCGGCGACCGATCACGGTAAGGCGGATTTTTTGAGGCCGGCCCTACTTTCAAAATATGAAAAACGGCAAGAACTCCGCTAGAAGCTGACTAATTAGGCCCATGGACACCCCTTAGGCCCATGCCGACCCTCACCGGCTGCTAGCTACTAGCCACTATGTTATCTTTCTCTATAACATTTCGGACTGCTTTTTCTGCTGCTTTTCTCCGCTAATCAGATACTTAGCACTTTTTTGTGCCTATTTGAGTTCCGTTTCCCGCAATTTGCGGTCGCGAACTGTGCCTTTAACAAGTGAGAGTAAAGAGAACAAACAAAAAATACCTTTTTATAACCGGCTCCACTTGAGTGCCACGACATCGAGGACAATCTTCAACTACGTTCACAAAAATATTCTTTTGTGTACCTGAAAAAGGAACCTTCTGAGTAGCTTTATAAGAGCTAAAGGCAATATAAAAACTGCTTGGTGACCGCGTAACCGCTCATGCTCTGCAAATGTGGAGAATTTGCAATTTGAGATAGTTTCATGGAACTTTGCTTGAGCCAAAGAACAGAGTACGTATCGATCTAGGCAATCCACGAATGTGTTAGGGTGCGTTCATACTTTGCAACAGCGTTCTGAGCTCCTCTATTATAGACATTAATCTAGCGTTTCAGCCAGCCTCCTGTTTCCCTTTTCTCCTCAAAACAACCGCTTTAAGCAGCTGAAAATGCTCCGAACGCTGGAGGACATTCAAAACGCTGAACGGATACTATACTTTCCTGGTCGCTAAGACGCTGACATAAAGGTATAACCGGCTGATCGGCGCCCAAGAGAACTTTGGAAAGTAGATATGACGAGAGAATGGTGATCTGATCACTCGCTCACTACCTCGATTACACATGTCTGTTGAATCGTGGTGCCTCGAAGGACTGTTCTCCAAATCGATGCACAAACTTTGCTTTGCTGCGGCTCCTCCGAAATTGCTGATTCCCTCCCTACACTAATGAAATATGGAGGATTTCTGAAGGAACATCAGCTTCCCGGGAGTTTTGAACTGAACGGTGATGCCGAGAAAACTGGCATTCTTACTCATATCGCCCTTACTAGAACGAACATCAACAGGGTGTGTGGAAATGGACACTGTGTAAAGTAACCCATGAATGATTATGTTACGGGTTACGCTGATTCTACAATAAAAACGGGCTTCGGCGCAGCCGTCGATCGTGGAAGTTGGAGGGGGGGGGGGGGGGAGGGGAGGAAAGGGGGCACTTCGCTAGTTCCTTCTTACTAATGCACGCTAACTAACAGGTCAACACCTGTAAACCTCTGGAAAGTGACGAAGTGAGTCACTTTAGTTACAGTAACTTGCAGGTCCTCACATGAGGGTATGTGACAAAAGGATCGTGATCCGCCGCGCTGCTCGGCGTCGCGTGCGACGTCTCGCCTGCAAAGGACGAGGGTTCCAGGTAGTAGATGGCGACAACATGCAATTACGGACCGAAAACAGTAATGACAGTCTACGATAACGGGATCGTCTACTATTGAGAGTGCAGTCCGGTGCTCCATTCGACAGGTTAAAACGAGTTATGAAAACGCCGCGCCCATCGCCGCGCGTGGCGGTGCGGCAAATTACGATCCTCTTTACCGTCTCCCCTCACAGGTGGTAAACACAAGCTTCACTGAGAACCATTTGCCCAACAGCGCCATGGCCTTTTATAACGAACACATTACCTCGCACAGCTTCCTCGAAAGATATATCCATAACCATTTCTTGAGCCTGTGAATGACCGAACTGACTGTCCGCGTAAGAATCCCAGTTGAATCCACCATCCTGAACACAACTAATGTTTCCAAGGTCTTCATGTGAGGCTAAAAGAGCTTTTCAAGCCCTAAAACATGACTCCTCACAGTACTCAGTATAGAATGGGGTTCAGATGAGAGAATAATTGCAGTAATCATGCAAAGCTCAAATGAATATTAGATTACACTCACCCCGCCGAAGCCAAAGGCACGTCGGAAGATCTCATTAACATCGACAGTGCTCTTGTACTGCCATTCATGAGGTCCCCTACCAGCACCTCCAGCTGCTGACGAACTTGATCCAAACGTGTCGTATTCTTGCCGCTTGTTGTCGTCACTCAACACCTGAACGATAGAGATGTTATGACATTAATAAAAAAAGAAGCGCACAATATTAGTACCGCTTTTTATTGGAGTTTTATTTTGATAGTTGAAATAAGGAACTAAATGTTTACCTCGTACGCCTCTGAGATCTCTTGAAATTTCTCTTGTGCTTCTTTGGTCTTATTGACATCTGGATGGTATTTCTTGGCGAGCTGAAAAACAGAGACATAAATATGAAAACATCTTTCTATAAGAAACTTTGAAGAGCGTAGCTTTCATGAGAGCCTTTGGAGTGGCAGACAACAAAAGAGGCGCTATGGCGCAGCTGGGCTGAGAGGAGCTACTGGAAACGGTACTGGCTTGAATTCTACGCCATTCTGCTTGGTTGTTTTTTTGTTAAATGGCTTCCACAGTAGAAAGGTGAAAAAAAGATTGTTTGTCAGGAGTACGACGTTAGGGAGGGGCACTTAACCTCAACTGCGCAAAAAGGGATCGTCGTGATGTAGATGAGGATTTATGCTTAAGCCTAGGAGAGGGAAGCTCTGGGATGGCTGGGCTGATTTCATTCTGTAGAAAGGGAGTCTGAGAATAATAATAAGTACATTTTGTAGTTTCACAAGAGCTCAATACGTGCCTTCCCCCTACCCCTCGGTGGCTGAACCGCGTCGACCCTATCCGGGTAAAGTGAGGAATGAACCATGACGGCGCTATTCGGGTAAAATGAGGAAAGTGATGCAGCAGTGGGTATGAGCCGGTGGAAGAGGGTTTCTGAGCGAGTCTAAAGGCCAGGAAAGATTTCCAGGGTAGGTGAAGTATTCCTTTCTATGGAAAAAAAACATTGTCCTATGGTAATCTGCAAAAAAAGTCTCCCCAATGCCCCATCTTTTGAATAGCGAAAGAA